TCCCTTCTCCTCCATTCTCCTCTCAGGATCCTGGGCACGCACGCACACGCGCCCGGCGTGAGTTTTAAGCCACCGGGTCTGGGACACGAACCGCGGTCGACTACGTGGGAGTCCAGCGAAATAGCCATTACGCTAACTGCTGGTTCCCAAGAAAAAAATCTTTTTAAAATTTGTCAAGTGGAATCAGCAGTTGGCGTAGTGGCTATGTTGCTGGACTCCCAATTAGTTGACTGCAGATCAAGTCCCAGATCTGGTGGCTTAAACTCATGATGGGCGCGAATGCGTGTGTGCTCAAGATCCTGAGAGGAGAATGGAGAAGAGATTGCAGTGTGGCCAAACACCCTGAGGGGTGATTTCTCACTTTCTATTTCTCTCTCTCTCTCTGTCTTTCTGGCGAGTGCATGCGCCCTATAAAAACAAATCTCCAAAAAAAAAAAAAATTTGTCAAGTAACATTAGTTAAGTATTACTCTGTTTTATAATTTAAAAACAGCAATACATAGACTGTTGAAGGGCTGGCCTCTCCTATTTATATAGCAGCTAAGCTTCCAGTAATTTTCATAAACATCTTTTCATATTTTTCAAGGTGGAAAGGGCTATTTTTGTTAAAAAAAAATAAAAAACCTAAAAAATACTAATTCTAGCCTGTTTTAAATGCTCAATTTTTTTCTCCTTTTGGCTCCCAAATAATAGTAACCAACTTTAAAATTAAAAGAATAAATTAATCATTTTAGATAAAACTATATGCTTACATGCTTTAATAGCTGACTATTGCCATTAAATACCAAAAATGCAAATAAATGTTTAAAGCATTACCTTGTCATACTTGTTGAGTGACAGGCTTATTAAATCACAAAGGAGATTTTCACAATGTTCTTCAAATAAGCTGACATTGGTTAAATTGTCACCTGCCAGATTTATAAATTGATGACCATATATAACTTGTTCTGAAAATGTAATAAAATAAATTCTACTTAAAATTACAGTAAATTTTATTAATTCAGAAGTGACTGTACAACTTTCAATTATAACAAAACTAAACCATAGTTTTAAAAATTTTTTTGCAATAAATTTTGAAGATAACATTCTTATATGAACATTGATAAGTATTACTTAATGAAAGTTCCCAATCCTTCCAAGTACCATTTAATATATTTCTTTTCCTAATAAATCTATCCTTGAAAAGCATTAATGCAATATCACTTAGAACACAAAAATTTAAAAGAAGAAACATCAAAAAACTTCAGACACATTTCTAACCAAAAAGCCCTTCAAACATTCTTTAACAAAGACTGATGAACTGACTACATGCAATTGTTTGTGGAGTAAACCAAAGTAACAGACAACCAAAATTTGTACCTATTTCAGAGTATGTTCACCTCAGAAATATTTCCTCTAGGAAAATATGTGAGACATATATGGAAAAAAAATCACATAGATTTGTATACATCCTGCATATGTGAGTATATACATTTGAATGTACATACACACTTACATAGCTTTATTTGTTAATTAACTGAAAAGCAGGTACTGGAGTAATAGATGTCTTCACAACCTTCACAAAAGATTGGTAATGAAACCATAATGATGACTAACAGCAAGATAAGAAATATATAGGTGGGATAAGCAGGTAGCGTGGTGGTTAAAGCAATGGACTTTTATATGACTGACAGCAGTTCGAGTCCCTAACCTGGTGGCTTGCTTTCTCATGTTCTCTCCCTCTCTCTATCTTTCTCTGGTGAACACTTGTGCCCTATGGTAAAATTTATTAAAAAAAATTTTTAAGATGATTAATAATAATAAATTAAATGAATAATTATCTTATAAAAAATAAGAAATAATTAGCGACATTAAACTAAAGGATTACTATGCATAATACAAGGATATTTCAAAAAGTGTGTTGAAAAATAGAACTGAAATACAAGTTTATTTTGATGCAAAAAACTTTTAAAATCCATGCATAGTTTTCTTCATAATACTCAGTTTCCATGAAAATGAAGTTCTTTTTTATACTGAGGGCAGAACATGGAATATGACACTGCAATGTGCCACTCTACTTTAAGAATCTATTCTACAGAATAACTTGTACTCAAATTAAAGATACATGTGTATATAGACACACACAAGAATGTTCACTGATACATTATTTGTACTATCAAAAAAAACTTAAATAACTTAAATGATCAAAATAGACATAGCAAAATAAGGTACAGTATATCCCTACCACACACCCCTTCATGAATAAAGTAGAAGTGTATGTAATACTACCATGAACAAATTGCTAACAAATTTTTTTTAATGATTTGCTTTTAATTTTACTTAGTATTTTTATTAATTTGCTACAGCTTATTAGAGAGAGAAAGAGAGGGAAAGTGAGAAAGCAAGTCACCAGGTCTGGGATTTGAACCATGGTCAGCCATGTGGGAATCCAGCACCTTAATCACCACACCAGCTGCTGGCCCCACTTTAAAAAATTTCTGAAGAAAGACACACCAGAGGCCAGTAGGTAGCATAGATAGTGGTTAAGGAGCTGGATTCCCACGTGACAGATCACAGCTCAAGTCTTCGATCCAGCAGCTTGAAATTCACACCAGGCACATGTGTGTGCGTACTCAGAACCCCAGGAGAATGGAGAAGGGATTGCTGCATGGCCATTCCCATGGGGAGTAATTTCTTGTTTTCTATCTCTTTGTCTCTCCAATGAGTTCACACAGCCCTACAGCAAAAATCTTTCCAAAAAAAAAAAAAGAATGACATACTAAATAGTATGATGACAGCACCTGTGATTAAAAACAAAAACGGACCAGCATATGGCATAGTGGTTACGTTGCTGAACTCCCACATGGCTGACTGTGGTTCAGCTGTGGTTCAGGTCTCAGACCTGGCAACTTGAAACTCTAATTATGCACAAAATGTATGCACAAAATCCTAAGATGAGAATGGAGAAGGGACTGTGGCATGGCCATTCCCCAAGGAAGGGTGATGTCTCGCTTTCTTTCTCTGTTTCTCTAGTGAGCACATAGACCCTATAACAAAAATCTCTCTCTCAAGAAAAACAAAAAACAACAAAATGCTACCTCTAAGTATAGAAAGCAAATATGGAAAGATAAACTAAGCTGATTCCGATAGTTATATCTGTAAAATCAAAGTACATCTTTCACTTTTTACTTTGGTTACTACTTGATTTTTTTATTATTATTATTTTATTTAACTATTTTGTTTACTTATTTTAATTAGACCAGAAAGTGCGGAGGAGAAGGGAGAGAGGGAGAGAGAGAGAAAGAGAGAGAGAGAGAGAAAAAGTGAGAAAGCAAGCCACCAGGTCCGGGACTTGAACCATGGTCAGTCACGTGGGAGTCCAGTGCCCTTAACCACCATGCCACCCTAAGAATTCCTATATTGATTTTTTTAAAATATACCAAAAAGCACATATTATTTGTGTAATTTTAGAAAACAATAAAAGTTTAGATTAAAAATAAAAATAGGACACAAATCCATAAACTTACTCAATTTTTCACCAAGTATATGAAGAATTTCTAGCACCAGCCAGTGGATGTCCAAATGGAGATGTAATAAATGCCACGATGGAGGAAAAAGCTGTGAATGACATTATCAACTGTGACTGAGAATTCATAACACTTCTCTAGGCATTTTATAGCATGTCATAACACTCCTCCATAAACATAGGATAAAGAACCAATTAACCTACCACTATTCAAAAGCTCAGGGGAAACCTTTGTCTTGTTCATTAGAGGATTCTTTCGCTGAAGTTCTTTGAAAGCAGGATATATTTTCATCTGTTGGTTTAAGATAAACCCACCTTAGGACTGCTGAATAGACTGTATAGTAAAGATCCCTTCCAACCCACCTCTGATTCTAATAAAGCTGCAAGGCAGTAAAAGAATTTTTTAAAACACTCTTTATAATTTAGTTTGGGAATTAAATTAGAAAATATTTTTCTTACTGCCATGACTACCTACTAAGAATTCCTATAAAAACATTTTAACAAAAGAACTGTAGACTATCATGCAGACACTATTGTCAACCCTATTAAGAAACAGACACATTTAAAAAGGTGAAGAAATTTAGTTCTCAATTCACATACTAGGATTCGAGCCCAGTTCTATTCAATTCAAAGCCAGTATTTTTAACCACTGTACTGTACTGGACTATTAATAACCTTTCTATGGTCAATCACTGTAAAAATAAATGCGACATATTCCATTGAAACAACTAAGGAGAGTGATCAAGAGGGGACTTGCCCTCATCTATACAAACAAAACACAGTTGATCTTTGAACAGCATCATGTGCAATGTGGGTTTACATATATAGAGATTTTTCCCAATAAATATATTGAAAACTACAGTACATAGTATTATAAATGTATTGTCTCCTCTTTATGATGTTCGTAACATTTTCTTTTCTCTATCTTACTTTATTGTAAGAATACACTATTTTAATACATATAATGTACAGAGTATATATTAGTTGTTCATATTATTGACAAGGCTACTGGTCAACAGCAGACAATTAATACTTATGTTTTAAGAGAGTCAAAGTTATACGAGCATTTTTTTATTGTATTAGAGAATGGTGCTCCTGACACCTGCATGTTCAAGGGTCAACTGTAAAATGCTACACCAGGAAAATAGTACTGGCGCAGGAATAGATGATAAGCAAACAGCAAAAATAGGGAAGTGGATCTCAAATTAGTGCAGAAAGCCCAAGTCATTCAATAAAATTACTAACATCCATTTGCAAGAAACTAAAGTTTTGCACATTTTAAATAAATGGAAGAAAATATTTGTAATACAAAAGAGCTAACAACAACAAAAACTCTAGTAAGAGTCTCTAAAAACTAATAAAAGACAGATGTTCAAGTAGAAATATCCATTAAAACAATACTCTTTATATACAAGATTGATACAATACAATAAATACATGAACAATACTTATTTTCTAATTTTTTGTTTGTTTCAGATAAAGACAGTATTGAGCTGGCCCCATGGTATTGTGGCTAAGGGAATCAGATCCTACATGGCCAATGGTGTATGTGATTTGAATCTCAGCCTCAGTGGCTTTAGAAACAAGCCAGGCACACATGGGAATGTGCCCAAAATCTCAATAGGACAGAGAAATGAAGACACAATTACAGTGTAACCATGCCTCACTGGGGGTACTTTTTCCCTCTCCCTCTT